GCATGTTTAACCGTCTTGTCGGCATAGTTGGGCATGTAGTCGTGGTCCCGGACTAGCGGTCCATGCAGTAGTTTCACGAGGCAAGGTAACCCCTGTTCAGGACATCCCCGCAAAACCGGATCGACGGTTATATTGTAGTGTGAATAGTGAGGTACAGCCGTGCCACGAGATTTTGGAACCGCTATTCAGGGCATCCCGCTAAACCGGGACCATGACTGTACTTTCACAATTATCTATGGTCGGGGTTTAGCTCCCCACCCATCCCACCACCCTCTCGAAGATGCTGTTTGCCCCTCTTGAAAAGTGACATATCTTTGCGGTGATTAGATGAGAGGATGGAAGCTGCAGGTTCCTGTTTTTTGTGGCCGCTCTGCACGGCATGTCGCTAAAAAGGGGTCGCTGAATTGGATCTCGCCTCTGTTTTCGCAGATCCCGACATGTACTACTACGAGGTGATCGAGTGCGGCCGGAGGATCCTCCTGACGGGGGCTCTGATTTTCATCGCCCCGCACACGGCGGCCCAGGCGGCCATGGCCTGCATGTTCGCCTTCGCAAGCTTGCTGGGCTTCGAGCTGTTGAGACCCCACCTGGATCCCGCGGACTCGTGGCTCTACCGCCTGGTGAGAAAAGGGGAGAGACAGACAGACAGACAGGCAGACAGAGAGAGCAATTTTGCCATGGCCTGCAAGAGGCTGTAGCCCTTCGGCGGGTAGTGGAAGGTCAAATGCTCATTTTGCATTCATGGAGTTGAGCTTGAGCTTGAGTGCCTGCCGTCCTGCCGTGCGTGTTCGGGTTTGGCAACAGACTGTAGGCGTGACAACAGGGGTGTTTCTGAGTTGTCATCGTCAAGCAACGTAGAAGCAATTCGATTGCCGTACGTACGTGACAACACCAGTAATAGTGTTTTCGGGAGCGTCGAGGAAGTTGGAAGACATTGATTTCCCAGGTTTTTTTTTCTGTACAGGCTGTAGTGTGCCGCTTCTTGGTTGGATATTCCAGAATCCAGTATATGTGGAACCGAGGAATGTGTGTGATCTTTTAACCACAGATATAAATCAGTCGATATTAGGCGTCCTCGCCAAAGCCAAAAATCTGTTCGTAGTTCAATGATGGGTATAGCGCCTCCTTGTGGAGAACGGGGAGAAAGTTGTTCCAAAAACTATTTTCGCGGATTGCAGGACCGTTCTTCTCATCTCTGCTGTGAAAGAATGTTCTTTTCATCACCCTCGGCGCTCTGAAAGGCCTCATGTAGTCAACGATACCACCGCCTTCGTTCGCAAGGTCTTGACATCTCTCCCGTCTCTGGGGAGGGATCCCATCTATCACCGATCGTACGACGTGTTTGCGACCTGACAAGAGCAGGCAACGCAAGCCCCTAACTTCCGTCACCTGACGACTGCCCACGTGTGGCTTGAACGCACATGGCAATTTGACTTGCCTCGCCTCGACTAGACTCGACCCGCTTGCGTGACCACCCACTTGCTGCTTGAACACACCCGGCGAACTTGACCCCCCCTTCACCTGTTGCTTGAATGCACACCGCGACTTGGTTTGTTATTCCTCGACTGAACACGACTTGGCCGCTCACCTTTTGTTTTAACGCACACCGCGACCGCTTGTATGTACTCGACGGCAGGGTTGCGTGACGATCTTCTTGTCCAACTTCCTGGCGCTCCTAACGAAGGTCGACGCCGCGGGAGAGAGCAACCGGTCCATCCTCGGCGGCATCCTGATCGCGGTCAACGTCCTGCTTGTCGTCGCGGTGCTCGCCTCCACCTGGTTCGCCACGCAACAGACGGTGGACGACAACCGGGAGGGGGAGAACGCTTTCGCGGTGGCGAAGGTCATGCTCACGCACGAACAGGTGGTCGCCCAAAGCAAGCGCCTCGAGAGGGAGGAGAGCGCGCAGCGGGATACCGGCCGGCGGGAGGCCCGCGTTGGGGGCAACAGCGGCGGTATTGGGGCAGGCCACTTGGGCGGGGGCAGCGGCGGAATCGGCGGAGGAGGAGCAGGCGGCCGCGTGGGCGGTGGCAGCGGCGAAATCGGGCGCGTGGGCGGCGGCAGCGGCGGCGTAGCGGCATCCTTGGGGTCGGGCTTTCGGCGTCCAGGCGCGGGATCGCAGGGAAGCAGCGGCACTCGGAATCTGTTTTCGGGGCGGACGGGGAGCGTCAGCGCCGCCCGGGTCGAGGAGCTCTGGGAGGAGGACAAGGCCATGGCGCGTCGATCCAATGACGGCGGTGGTGGCCGAAGAGTGTAGCGGTACACGCACGGCCGCACACAGGACCTCCATCCAGTGATGGTGGGGCTCGTCGTCGGGAGGCGGGATTCACACGGCAACGTAGACGAGTAAAGAGGGTTACGTTTTGAGGCCTGCACGATGGGGTTACACTTGGTGGGTGGCCGCTTGGGCCCGGAAACAGACACGGGGATGGGGGGGGGGGGGGGC